ACACAATGTGAAGGAAATAAAGGGTCAAGGAGTCAATGGGGTGAGAGTAGGCAAGTCACCAGGGAGGATGTTGATCTGAAACATGTTGACTAGAAACAACTATCCAAACCTTTGGCCGAGTCTCTGTTTCTTTAGTTAGCAATTCATGTCAATGTTTAGTCAAAGATATTCTAGGCACTAGGCAATTATATAATATGCTAAAAAGGCATTAGTAACCATGAAATAAATGGAAAGAGTGACCTTTAACACATTTTCATCTCCTGAAAAGGATCAAATAGTTCATAATTTTTTTATCACCGTATTCTCCCATGCTGATTAAATATCACAGAAAGAGAAATGCGTTCAAGCTACTTATGTAATTTCCTCTCAAATTAAAAAGGAGGCTAGCAACAGGCATGAAACAAAGGAAGTGTGTCTGAGACTGATCTTGCGGAATATATATATCTAATTCCCTTTGTCTCAAACCTCATCATCTGAGTTTTTGCATGACTTCCTTTCTCAGTCTCATTTTCCACATTACATAATATTCTAAAATGAATGAAACAGAAGAGCATCAACCTCCTGTTTAAATTCTTCTGTTTCTTAGAGCCGGAACAGACCGCTCTTAAAGCTGTCTTCCCGGTGGCTTGGGGGGGTATGGCGTTAATACACTGCACGCCCCCAAGACGTCTTGAAGCCGCCCAGCTGTTTAGATGTGGGTGGCTTAAAGATGCTCCAGCAGTGTGGAGTTTATATGTCACATGCTGCCAGAGCGCATTGCAGCTGGCTTCAAGATGCTGCAGGGCATGAAAAACTGGCTTTTCCCTGGCCAAAAAAGGAGTGGATCTTTGCCATTCCTTTTTTGGCCAGGGAAAAAGCAGATTGGAGCAGCGGTGTGTGTTTTGTCTTCGGAAGGGGCAGCTTCAAGCCAGTCTGTTTTGCCCCCATGTCAGCATCCCCACTGCAGAGAAGGTGAGAAAGTAGAGGTCTGGATGTACTGGCAGCTCTCTGCAATAGATCAGTAACAATGTCTAACTCCTAGTTTGTTAATGATTATGAACTGCACTCTGCCCTAAATTATACTGCTAAAATGAAGTAAGTTTGAGGTAAGCAAGAATGAATTTTAGTGTGGCAGGACTCTGAGCTGTGTTATTCAAAACAATTCCTATGCTCTGAATTCTAGTCATCGTTTTTTTAAAAAACCAATGTATACCCTGCCTTTCTTTAGGAATGAGGCACAAGGCAGCTTACAAAATGTTAAGGTAAAAGATTACATTTAAAAACTTATTTTAGAGAAGTATTTTTTGAAGTACACAATTATATTAAAAATTCACATTGTTAAAACAGTTTAAAATATACTGAAAATATAACTGAGATGATACAAGGGGGGAAAAACCCAGAACTTACTATTTTTAGGCACTGTATATATGACTCAAAATCAAAGGCCTTAGCCTGCCAACAGAAAGAAAGCAGGAAAGAGATTAAACAGACCTGTGCAAGGAGTTCCACAGCCTGGGAGCAGCCACTGAAAAGGCTGTCTTCCATGTCCTCACCTTCATGGCTGAGATGGTGGTAGGACCAAGGGAAAGCCTTGGGATAGAATTAGCTGGGAAAGGTGAAGAGAGGGGGCTAGATTAGCCCCATTACTCAGTTGCTTCTTTCTTTATAGGGTGGGTAACTACATGCCTACCTCTAGGCATGTAGTCTCTCCATGCAATGGGTCTCACTCCTCATGAGTTCAGGTTAATTCTATCCAGATTATGGGGAAAGCTCCCATGCATAACAAAAACATTTACTGTATATATTTGACTATATGTTTTTGGCCCAAAATTATGGATTTTGATATGACTTGTGGATCAGTCGAAGGTAAAACTGATGGACAAGTAACAAAAGATGTAAAGGATGAAGCAAAGAAAAACAAAGAACACCGCCATTTTCCCACCTAGGCATTAAAAAAGGCCAGACGTGGAGCTGCAGCAGGGAGAATCCAGGGGGGTCAATGGTTCTTTTAGTTTCTCCCGGGATGGACTAAATTCTGGTCTTTCACCACTCAGAGAAGGGGATGCTTTCGATTTTGATAAGAATTAAGGTACAGTACTTACATGACCCATAGATACGGTAAGTTGGCCCAGTTTTTGGGGAGTTCATTTTTAACTAAAATTTCTTTCTAGATTGTCACTCTCCAATTATGCAACAGTGGAGGGGGCAGACCTACTTTGGTCTCTTCTGTGCATCTAGAGCACCTTATCTTGAATACCTAAATTGGGCTTATGGAAAAACTTTACGCACATGGCTTTGATTGGTCGATCATGGGATCTTAATAAAAACAGATTTCACAAGCTTTCTATATTTGCCCATCATTTCCCTAATGGTTCTCAAGCTAAGGGTCTCTTTTTCAAAGTCTGTAACTTTCAGGACAGCTGAAAAATCAAAGGTTTATTTTGCTTTGCTGCTAAACTGGTTTGCATACTGAATAGAGGGATTTTTACCTCAGAGCAACAAATAAAATATTGTGGTGAGGTCTTTCGTTACCACATTATCAGTAAGAATGAAACCAGCAGGATTGAAAAGGCTAAAAGAACAGAAATTTATAATTAAATGTTTCTACAGAAAGGAGACAAAGCCATGCTCTTACAAGAAGTACTACAAAAAGGCATTGTTAGGGATTTGTAGAATTGCTTGCCTGGGATAGCTTGCTAGTCTTACCACAGTTCTTGTGGCTTCCCTCAGCTTTCTGAAGACATTACTCCTCCTGAGCACAGTTTTAACTCGTAATGTACATTAGGTGAAATCTGAGGGCTGATGGTTACTCTGATTCTAAGTTTTATGAATGTTACCCAGTGCATGGATAGTTGCCTGCTAGTCTCAGATTCTCAGCAGAACATCCAACACTAGTGAATGCCAGACACAGCTCAAACTGACTATAACAAGTTACATTAATGCTTTCTGTGGTTCCCAAGTATCAAATGCAGAACCCTACTGAGAGAATGTACTAGTACCGTCTTATTTAGAGTTCAATTGCTATGAAACATTCCCAAAGATCTATTAGAGGTCTGTTGCAACTTAAGCAAGCATTTGTATGAAGAAGCAAATAGCAAAAGACCAAAAAGAGGCAATTTCAGGTGCAGCCCATGTTGTTTGTTTATTGTCTTTTTTCAGTTCTAAAAAAAGGATGGCTAATCTCTGAAGGAAGACTGATTGGGGACTTTGCCCTAGATTACAACCCTAACCAAGCATGCTTATTTGAAAGTAATGGGACTCAAGCTGCTCAGTGAGACTTGCTTCTGCTCAAAAATGCCTGGGCACTCTTAAAAGCAAATCAATGGTATTATGAAGAGAATGGGATTGGTCCTATGATTTGCACTTCAGGTAAAAGAATGTTGAATCTATTCATACAATCTCTTTCAAAAGGGTAGCAAATCTGTCATTGTCAGAAATCATATGTGGAACAGGCAGGAAAGAGAAGGTGGCATCTTAAATTCTGTATTCATAAATATTCTTACTGCAGTGGACAGTAAGGATGATTCAAACAAATATGATCCAGATAAATACAAATGGCATAGTTAGTGTGCAGAAGAAACTCTCTGTCAACCAAATCTCCCTAAACAAACATATTTCTTTTCCCCCCACCCCCATGGTGATGTTCTCCTCTATTTCAGACATACATCTACTGTGTACGATACACAGCATATAGGAATTTCTTCCGAAATTATGTAACATTGGTGAATAGTTTATAGAGGTACAAAACATATCAGTCTATTCAGGGAGAGTATGATCACACAAAACTGTTAAGATCTCTTTATCCATCTCTGTGTTTATTAACAGACCAGAAAACTACTAGCCAGTAGAAATTCTTACACTAAAAATCATATGGGTGCATTTCTTCTAAAAATGAAATTCAACATTTTGATTTAAATACAGAACCAAAAAATGGAAAAGGAAAGAGCACAGTACCTTATGATTAAGCAGTATCTGAATAATAAAGTAACTTCTTCTTGATTATCTTCAAGAGATGTATATTTTGAATTAAAACCATATTTGTATTTGGGGAGATTATATCTTACTATTATTATTACCCTTATTTATCTCCCACCTTTTTGCTCAATGAGTACTCAAGAAAGCTTACAATCAAACAGAGATACAATATGAATAAAAACATACAAAATATTAGAATGAAAATATATTTAGACCTTCAATAATATTAAAACAAAATAGTGCAGCACTCTACTAAAGCCCATTCTTTAAAACTAGTCAATTCTCAAAAGCCGGTCAATTTTTTTTAAAAAAAAGTATTTGCCCACTTATGGAAGGATAGGAAGGGATTTCTGGAGTCTAAAAGCATCCACTGAGCATTTTAAAAAGTTTAAAGTCTAAATATATGTACAAAATGACAATTCACATGTGGAGCTAAATACACAATGCACACATACCTTTCACAGTTGGGTCCCACTCTGTTGATTAATTTCTCCATGGCTTCTTCAGTCTCCCTGAGCTTTTCTTGAAGCTGGGCCAGTTCATAGTCAGCTGCAATACAAACAGGGTCCCGAGATGCATCAGTCTCCGCACCCCTCAATTCGCTTCTTTAAGTCAGTATGGCTTGCCTTCAGCCCACAGCAAGCAAAAATGGAACTTGTTCTGAGCAAACCATGTGTGGTGACTAAAAGAGGACTTTGCTAGTCAGCAGAACTAATGGAAATGGTCTTTTATTCTTTCCAGGCAGGAGATGAAACAGGAGATGTCCCTAAGGCTAAGGAAAGCATATATAATGCAACCAATTGCTCATCAGCAGCAGCTACCTGCTGAGTAACTGACTGACTTGAAAATGCCTACAGACAAGAAAGACTGAGACACAGCAAGCCACCTAACCTAATGATATCAAAAATATTCAGCAGGAAAGCTAATGACTATTTTGGTCAAGAAGAAGAAAATCAAGACAGCTGTTCTATTCATAGTTTCTTGGGAATTAGACTCATTGAATAAGGTGGGTTTTCTTTTTACACACATGACTAGGCATGCATGAGGGCCAGTGTGGTGTAGTGTTTTGAGCATTGGACTATGACTCTGGAGACCAAGGTTTGAATCCTAGCTTGGCCATGTAAACTCACTGGGTGACCTTGGGCAAGTCACGCTGTCTCAGGTTCAGAGGATGACAATGGCAAATCCCATCTGAAGAAACTTGCCAAGAAAACCCCATGGTAGGTTCGCCTTAGAGGTGCTATAAGTCAGAAATGACTTGAAGGCATACAACAATAAAACAACAACAAAAATAACAACAAAGAAAAAACTGGGCTTAAGAATCCTTCGTTGTCTGCATCCATGAATGTATATATACTATGTAATTATAGCAGTTTCATTACAGTTTAAATGTCAAAGTACTAGTCTCTGAGATTGTGGGATTTGTAGTTTGGTTAAATACTTGGAGAGAGTTCTAGTGCTGAAAATCAGGAAATGGACTAGAGCAGTGGTGACAAACCTATGCCACACATGCCATAGGGGGCACTCAGAGCCTTCACTGTGGGCATGCGTGCCATCACCCCAGTGACAGAGTTCACCAGAGTTCGTTACTAGAAAGCCAGAGGGATGAGGCATTTTATGATAAATAAGTGGGTTTTGGGTTGAAGTATGGGCACTTGGTCTCTAAAAGGTTTACCATCACTAGGCTAGAGGGTTCACTAGCAGATCATCTTAATGCAAAGGGATCTTGTAGCACCTTTGAGGCTAACTGAAAGAAAGAAGCTGGTAGCATGAGCTTTCATAGACTTAAGCCTACTTCCTCAAGTGCATGAGATTTGCAGTTTGGAGAGCATGGGATTTGCAGTTTAGGGAGGGAGTATTGAGATTTCTCAGCCAAAGTGTTCTAGAACCTCTGACCAAACTACAACCCTCAGGGTTTTACAAGATGTAGCCATGACAGTTAAAGTTGCATCATAGTGCTATATAGTGTGAAAGGGCCCTATGTTTGAAGAGGAAAGTCTCCTGGATCCTCTTTATGCCAGCAAGAACACAAGGAAATGTATTTACCTTGTTTTATTTTATTTGTGTGCTACCCTTCTCCCAACTTAGACTCTAGGTGGCTCACAAAAATCTGGATTCCTGCTAACTTGGGAGAGCTTCCAGGAGGTATGAAGGGTTCTCTTCTTCAGACATACCACTTTTACTCAGGTAAAGCAATGGCAACAATAACATCAGCAGAGCTAGTATGCTCCCCAATTGGCATTAACTTGTTTCCATGTTAAACTGGGAATAGGGGACATCTGCCAGCAGAACTGCTCAAATTAACAGCATTCAAAGGTGAGCCATCTTCCCTAGCTTCTGCAAATCCTCCCCACCATTTGCCATAAAAACCTGCTCTCAGACAGCTAGGAAACTCCCCCAGAGCCAGTTTTCAGGCAAGTCTGAGGGCTGCAGTGGGAAAAGAGGGGAGAAAGTTCCATTGTTCAGGTGTTGTTGTCTTTTAGATGTCAGTTTTTCTTTGTAGGGTTTTCTTTTTTGCACTATTTTATTTTATTTTTTTATTATATCCTGCCTTTCGCCCAGCATGGGCCCCAAGGCAGCTCACAATACATTAAGACTAAATCCAGCTCACTCCATACATGTAAGTAGAAAGTAGAGAGAGGTTTAATCTGCATTGTGGAAATGATGCAGTTTTACACCACTTTAACTGCCATGGCTCAATGCTGTGGAATCCGGGGATTTGTGAGTATTGTGAGATATTTGGCCTTCAATGTCAGAAAGCTCTGGTGCCACAGCAATCTACAGACCCCAGGACTCTACAGCTTTGGGTCATGACAGTTAAAATATTGTCAAACTGCATTATGTCTGCAGTGCAGATGTAGCCTGCGAAAGCTTAGGCTACAACTTCTTTCACACAGAAGGTGCTACAAGATCCCTTTGCATCCAGTTCAATGGGTAAAACAAAAGTTAAAAAGCAATTGAATAAACTGCTATATTTAGCACAGTTGAAAAGGCAGTTAAAATATAATGATGATGATAAAAATACAGCCAATTCTGAAATGTCCAGTTAATAGTCAAAGACTGAGGTAAATGAGAAGCAATTGGCCTGCCAATGAAAAGAAAGCAAAGAGTGAGCCAGGCTAGACTCCTGAGGGAGGGAATTCCATAGCCTAGGAGCAGCCACTGAGAAAATTCTCACTCATGTCCTCACCAACTGTACTTGTGATAGTGATGGGAACAAGAAAAAACCCTTAATCTATCAAATAAATGAAATTTAAATTTAAAAATATGCCCTGCAAGAAGACAAGCATGAAAATAGGAAGAATAATGGAGACTATAATAATCTCTGAATGACTGTTGTGTGACTTCAAGTCATTTCTTACTTATGGTGACCTTAAGGCAAACCTGTTACAGGTTTTTCTGGGGCTGAGAGTGTGTGACTTGCCCAAGGTCACCCAGTGGGTTTCTATGGCCAAGCAGGGAATCGAATCCTGATCACCAGAGTCACAGTCCAATGCTCAAACCACTATACCATGCTGGCTCTCACCTCTACATGATACACACACTTATCAATTCTGTTTTTCTCTAACTACATTACTGATCTACATGAACCAGCAGTGTGATGCTGCAGTAAAGAAGGCAGATATTATTTTAGCCTGCTTTAACAGAAGCATAGTTTCTAAGATGAGTAAAGTAATAGTCCTACTATATTCTGTGCTGCTCAGGCCTCATCTGGAGTAGTGCACTCAGTTCTGGGCACCACACTGAAAGAATATAGACCAGTTGGAGTGGGTTCAGAGAAGGGCCACAAGGATGATAAGAGATATGGAAAACAAAACAAGTGAGGAAAGGGTGAAGAAGCTGGGCGTGTTCAGCTTGGTGAAGAGAAGACTGAGGGGTGACATTATTGTATTCTTTAAATATCTCAAGAGCTGTCATAGAGAAGAGGGTGCAGGCTTATTCTCTGCTTCTTCACAAAGTAGAACCAGGTCTAATGCTTTTAAGTTATCGGAGGGTAAACTCTGATTGAACAGTAGAAGGAACTTCTTGACAGTAACAGCAGTTTAGCAATGGGACCAATGGCCTAGAGAGGTGGTGGAGTCTTCTTCCCTGGACATCTTCAAAAAGAGGCTGGAGAGCTACCTGTTGAGGATGCTTTATCTAGAGATCTTCCATGGAGGAAGGGTTTGGTGAGACCCATTCCAACTCTATGACAGTTTTATGCTGGGTGCTTCAAACAGGCAAGTTCAAATATAGAAAACACAACAAAGAAAGCAATAATCCTTGTATTCAATAAAACACTGCACAGCTATTTTTCCTCGCTCACACAATAGATTTTCCAAGAGAAAGAAGCAGTGGGAAAACACAGAAGGGTTCTAAGTAAAAGATTACAATGCCTGCTGGACCCACCAAAAAACTGTGACCAATGGATTATTTGTGTTATGCTCTAAGTACATTTCATATGATTTATTAATACACGGGTCATCAAATTGCCTCATCTACTGTGGTGCTGGACTAATTGTCCAAGCAAATGTTAATTCTGGAAACAATTTCAAGACAACCTTGGAAATGCTACTTACTGATCTTCCTGTTCATATTTCCAGATGCTGAAGATGGACATTTCCGTTCAACCATTGTGGTTTTCCCCTTAGAAGAAAGCTGTTAATTGAAAATGGTTACCATGGTGGGACAGTGACAAAAGTGTTTCTCAAACACATAGAAACAAAGAGAGGAAAGGAATCAGTTCAGACATAACAGGGAACCATCACTGCCTGTTATGCAAGTGAGTTGTGGAAAACCCTCCCTCTTTGCATGACGGAGGAGGAGAAAACACCCATTTCCAGTTATAAACTAATCACCATTATTCATTCTGTCCAAACTCATGATAATATGGTAAGCATAAACTCAGTTACAAGCAAACCTGGATCAGGATTAATTGACAGTTTGAAACTGATGTATTTTTAATCAGGATTGGGCAAAATAAAGCCCCTCTGGCTGTATTTATTGTACCCTGACACCCCCAGACTACTTTTATTTTAATTTTATTTTTATTGGCAAAAACAGATGGATTGCATTTCCTGGACATCACAAGTTGTTGTTTACCTTGTAAATAGGTCACAGCTCTATGGCATGCAGTGTTTACCCAAAATAGTTTTTCAAAACCAGAAGTGCACTTCTGCCCACTTTGGGTTCTGTTTTTGATTTCATTTGGGGGCATTTTCACCAGACCCATGGGTCTCAAGATCAGAAAATTGGTCCCCAGACACCTGGAAGTTGCCCACTGCTATTTATACAAATTCTACATGCAAATCATTGGAAATGTAGATAGTGGAAACTGAAAGTGAAAGTTGTCAAATCTATGACCTGCAACCAGTTTCCTGTTATGTTTAATCTGCAACACCTAGGAAATAATGGGCATTACCTCATGCTTCAGGAGTAACGACAAACTTATAAAATTGATCCTTCTTTTCCATTCCTACTCCCTGTACTCCCTTCTCCAGAAAATTATGGGAACCTATTAAACATGTCTTATGTCTTAATGGGCTGCAATGGGAGGAGACTATTACCTCAGTTGGAAACTTTGGTGCAAGTTTCCTCTACCTGATTTCTGACAATTTCCCCTCCTGGTGCAGATCTGTATAATATCAGATTTGGTAACTGCCCTCTGTAGTCACCCAAATAAATTACTGAGTGAGTATGGGGAAACAGAAAGATCCACTGTGAAGGCCTTCCCTCTGCTCATGCAACATTGGATATCAGCCAGTGAGAAAAAGTAGAAGTTTGAGAATTTCAGCTGAGTTGGGGGGGGGGGAATATTGGCTCACCCTGATAGAAACCACCGACCTTCTAGTAAAGGTAAAGGTAAAGGTAAAGGTAAAGGTAAAGGTAAAGGTAAAGGTAGTACCTTGACATGAATGTCTAGTTTTAACCAACTGTAGGGGGCAGTGCTCATCTCCATTACTAAACCAAACAGCCAGCGTTGTCCGAGGATTGCTCTGGTGCTCATGTGGCCAGCATGACTGCACCAAACGTCGTTACCTTCCCACCAAAGTGGTACCTATTTATCTACTTGCATTTGCATGCTTTCGAACTGCTAGGTTGGCAGAAGGTGGGACTAGTAATGGGAGCTCACCCCATCATGCAGCCCTTGGGCCTCAAACTGCCAACCTTCTGATCTTGCAATTGTCAAAATTGGCATCTTAACCACTAAGCCACCACATCTCTGGTTAACTAAAATCTGTCAAAAAGGAAAAGCATTCAGTGCAACTGATAGATTAAAAAATAACGGATTGTTCTCAAGTCTCCTCCCTGTCCTATTTGAGAAGAGCCACTATAAGAGAAAGTTAAGTTGTGAAATGATTTCCTTTTAAGTTCCAGCTCATTTGTTTTTCATTGTGTTTAAACAAACAAAGAAAAGATTGTCTGGCTGTTCAAAGTCTGACCTCGCAGCATCCAAATCAACCACAAAGCCATGTGCCTTCCATTTGTACAAAGGCTCAGTGGTTGCTCTTTATCAGTGCTTCAACACCACAGCTTGGTTCCACAACCTGTGACTACAGCACATGCTGCAGCAAAGTCTGTTAGGACGAATGCACCCATCTGTTACTTGGGCATTTCACTTTATCTTGGCAAGTTTCAATGGAACTGAAATAAATATAGCCTTCATCGTAACAACTCCATTACAACTAGCTCCAGACTGAATTTTTCCAAGAGAGTGAATCAATACAACTATAAATTTAAAGGTAATAGGTCAATTCCTTACCTTAAAAAGAATGTACAATATGTATAAAAGGATCCCAAATCCATATATTGGGATAACTTGTCCCACAAGACCTCTTCCTGTGCCACCACCTCCTCCTCCTCCTCCTCCTCCTCCACCACCACCCTTGGCCTTGGCAATTGCTTCTGCAAGATGAGACCTTGGAAAATGGGTAGACGTTGGTCTGACTTCTGGAGATATCTGGGGGTGCATGGTTGGAGGAAACCGACTGGCCTTCCCTGAAAATCAAGGTAGAAAATACCTGTCCTGAAACCAACATGATAGGGACAAATGTGCATGGACAAATTTAAACAAGCCATTCTTATAGTTATGTTTTCCACATACAGACTGCAAATATTATACAACATCCTACATGTTTCAAATCTCTGTCACATACAATAAGCTTACAATACTGATGAATACAAAGTTCACAAAACAATCTAATGAGAAGTTAGACTATAGTGCATTTGCACAATTAAAGCTTGTTTACCAGCTGTACCTGTTCCTTGAGACATCAGATCAGGCTATGGTAACACATGCCTTAGTTCAGGGGTAGGCAACCTTTTTGAGCCGGGGGCCGGGTTGCTGTCCCTCAGACAATTGGGGGGCCAAAGCACCAAAAATAAATAAATAAATATATGTATGCACACTCTCTCAGCCCCAGAAAAGCCATGGCAAAATCAAGAAAACCCCAAGAACAAATAATAACAATAATATCATCATGGTAGGCGACAGCGGCGGCGGGGGGCAGCGGCGGCAGGACAGGCCTGGGGCTGGTCCAAAGGCCTCGGGGGGGGCACATGTGGCCCCAGGCCTTAGGTTGCCTACCCCTGCCTTAGTTACATCCTGGTTAGATTACTGCAATACACTCTATGTGGGGCTGCCTTTGAAGAGTGTTCAGAAACCTCAACTAGTTCAAAGAGCTACAGCCAGATTACTAAGGGGTGCTGGCTAAAAGGAGCATACAACTCCCTTGTTGCAACAGCTTTACTGGCTGCTGGTCTGTTTCCAGGAACAATTCTAGGTTATCTAATCTAAACACAAGCTAAAGAATATATATATATTTACACAAAAAGGTACCCAAGAAGTACAACATACCTGCAATTATTTCATTGTTACTAATTTTTATAAAAGGGTTCCCATAAACTGAAGCAGGTATAATTGAAATTTATCATTTATCATTAAATTTTTATTGGAAAATATTTTGTAGTATCTGCTTTCATAAGCCAGTGTGTGAGGACAAGTAATGAAACATTTATAGGTCTTTTGTACATATTGGAGAGACTTCCTTGCAAAACTGTTTGCATAAACTTGCAGCTTAATGCATTCATATGGAGTGTACAATCCACATAGAGCAGTGGTCCCCAAAGTGGGTGGTAGCACTCCCCCTAGGGACATAAGAAAGCTCGGGGGGGGTGCTGAAGGAAAAATGAGCAGCAGGGGAGCACTGAGAAGAAAAACGGGGGTAGCAGAGAATTGTGGGGATGGGGGTTGCAAGTAGGGTTGCCATTGCTGCTGAAAAACCATAAAGGTCCTGGACTGAAGTCTTTGAAAAGCAGCAGGTCTTGGATTCCTGAAGGCAGAAGTGAAAACAAGGAGAAAAAACTCATCCAGATCCCACTCTTGAGCCTCTGGGTAGTACTGCACAGGCATGCCAGACCCAGAACCCAGAGGCAGGAAGAGAAAAGCAGCAAGCAGAGGCTTGGAGCATCAAAGAGGCTTTTTTGTGTCCTGGTAAATGTATGGTGATACAGTGGAACTTTTTGCTTGTTTGGGACTGG